TCTGCGGCGTTCGCGTAGGATCTGGGGGAGTGTGAGCTGCTGATTGAGTTTGTGATCGGGGATCAGGGGGGAGTGTGAAGGGAAACCTTCATTTGGTGCGCGGCGGAAGCGGTGAAGGGGTGAGGAACAGCGGAAGGAGAAACGTTGTTGGGAGAACGGTGTCGGGGAGGGAAAAACGGCGAGGGGGCGCGTAGCTTGGAGGGCAGGGTAACGAGCCGTGTACGCTGTTGGCGGCCAGCAGGAGAGACGTGCTGCGTGGCTCAAATACATAGCATTTTTGATATCCGCTAGCTGCTTCTTACAATGATAATGCTTTATCTGCGTCCTACAAACATTAAGGACATCGCGAGGTAGATTGTAGATCGATATGTTTAATCGAAATTTGAGGGTGAAAATTTTGATTGTAGATCGAGTGGTCAATGATGTGTATTAACATTGCCAAGCCAGGTTTGTCTGGAAATGTTTAGCATTCAGTCAGAATCGATTAGTGATGCAATTTATATAACGTGGTTTTTAACATGCGCGCCCGCAAATCTTTGCAATAAAAACCTCGACACCAGGCTCTGCAGTCTCCACAGTCCGTGGAGCGGTAGCTTAGTGGTTAACTTTTGGTCAGGCCCACCGGTGAATGAAAATGATAATGGTTCTGTAATAATTATCATTAATCACTTCAATTGGTTAGTACTAAAAGTTATGTGACATAATTTTGAGCGTGCGTACTCGCAAATCTTAGTTTAAAAAAACTCGACGCCAGGCGTTGCCGTCTCCGTAGGCCGCGCAGCGTCGGTTCAATAGCTAGTACTGAGTCGTGGCCAACGGGCGGAAGAAAATGATCACGCTTCTGAAAAAAGTACTTTTGAATACCTCAGGACATCAACTCTTACATCCACAAGGCAGTCTGGGCGCATACTTCACGTGCGCGATTTTTAAGACTGATGAAAAGAACAGATTGGCCCTTAAAGCACCGCAAAGTAGTGCTGGAATCTGGTGGTGGAACTGGAATAGTAAAGGCAGATTCTCTATTTTAGTGTTTCTGTAACCAGGAAGCTGTCCAGAAGACAGATTAACACGGTGCCCGCCGTCTGGTGGCACTTGCAGCGGCCGACGCCGTTCGGTTTTACGGAATCTGCAACCCAGACTATCGCTGTCCTTGCTCTCGAGGTTGCGGGCGGGCATGTTCAAACCTTTTGATACACTTTTCACTAATTCATTCTGAAAAATAAACGTTCTTAGGCAAACATGGGATGGCCTTGCTGGTTTTTTTAATTTTATTTCGGCCTCCACTCTACTCAGCAACGATGAGGCCCCTTACGGCCTTCCGGGTAGGAGGCCCCTTGTGTGGAACACCAAGGGCACATTACCGGCTCCGGCCAAGAGCTGAAGGACCACTCCGTCCCATCGCGAAGCGTCTTCTGGCTGTCTGGCGAAACGGGGCGGGATCTCTTGGTCGATCCGGAGGCCATTGGAAGGATATATTATATCACATTGTTCCCATCCCTGACACGGGAGGCATTCTGACCCGCGCAGTTGGTCCCGGATCAGCACAGGGACCCTCATTGACGCAATAACATCCTTGATCGCCAAAGGTGGTCCAATAATTGTCACACAGGCTCCAGTTCCGTGCAACTCTGTTTTCTTCAGAGATATTGAGGAATCCCTGAACATAGATTGTAGGTGAAATGGGGTCCTAAGCTTGTATTACTGTGGCTAACCCATGTTCGTCTTAAAATGCTCAAGATTCAGTCAAAATTGATAGCAACAACAGCCTGAGCACCCGGCGTTGCAGTCTCCATGGGTCGCGCGGCGTCGGCCTGCTGTGACACTAGGCGACGGCAATAAGCAAACGAAAAAGATGACGCATCTTGAGGAAGATGGCTGGTGAACTAGTTAAATCGGCATGTATATTTAAATGTGGTGCAAAAGGAAAATAAAAGCAACATTAGTTTGAAAAGTGTGGGGGGGGGGGGGGCAGTTAACACTGCTGGCCCTCCACCTTGAAAAGCAGGGGGCATGGCCCACCTGGCCCCCTGTTCCTACGCCCATGAGAGCCGTTGTTGACGTACCAAGACACCTTATCGCCGCAGGGGTCCAATAACTGGCACAAAGACTCAGCTCAGTGGACCCTTGGCTGGCATTGGGGTGGGGGCCCTCCGTTCCGCGCTGAGGACAATGACTGGCACAAAGACTCAGCTCAGTGGACCCTTGGCTGGCATTGGGGTGGGGGCCCTCCGTTCCGCGCTGAGGACAATGACTGGCACAGGGCCTTTTCGGTGTCTCAATGGGCCTCTAATGATAGGTTAGCGTGTCTCCCTTCATTGTCAGAGGGCCTCGACCAACACGGGAAGCCCTCTGGCATTCGGGATCCCGTCCCTGTCCCTGTTCAGCAGATGTTCCCCTGGTCGACTTGGGTCTCCTCACTGACACAGAACCCCCGGTCAGGCACTGTGTGTCTCTGACTGGTACATGGACCCTCATCGCTTCAGGGATCCAGACCAATGCAAATTGCGCGTCCCGGCATCGTCCCTGCTTGGCAAATGGGCTCCCAGGGTTCAGACCGACACGGAGCCGACTTTTCGGGTTGATGGTCTGACCGAAAAAGAAGCCTGCATTGTCTCAAGGTATTCTCAACTGGTGCAAGACGCCCTTTGACTGGCATTTAATAGCCCGTCCCTGCGAGCTGGGGTCCTTAATGTGACCGACAGGCAGTCCTCCGTGCCCTCCAATCCGACATTTGATCGGTGGTCCCGAGGGGCCATTCGGGTCCCTCAGTGGGCCCCTCGAACACTGCCTGGGCCGAATCTCCTTGCTTGAAAGGCAGTGTGGTCTCATGACCGACACAGAGATCCCTCATAGACTCAGGGGCCCTGACCAAACCGTGGGCTCCAGTCTTGTCCCCGCTGGGAAGTGAGCCCTCAGGCGCAGACCTGACGCTGGAGTAATGTGGTGGCGAATCCGACGCCGCGTGTCACGGTCACTTAGCCTCCACTACAGGGGTGTAGTTTCGCGAAATAGGATTTGGGGGGGGGGGGGAGAGAAGAGAGTTGGGGCGTGGGCTGGGCGGCACTACCTCGCTCTAAATACCATTAAAACAGGTTTCAGCCCGTATTTAACACACCTTTATCTCGCCGTTATCGAGTTGGAATCCCCCTCCTCCCCCCCCCCCCCCCAACTGAATAGGAAACTACAGCTCTGCTTTAAATGTTTTCTCCCCCGTCTCGTTGGAAGATGTCGAAGCTGACCATAACTGTCTTCTTGTTTGGCGCCGATTGTCGAGGCCAGGTTTCGGTAAACAGCGCAGGGCTGATATGATATTGCCCCAGTCGTTGCTGGTTGTGCACGTTTTCGGGAGTAAAGAGTGTAAGTTGATGTGCGCGACATTGAAAGGCCGCCATGGAAACCTAAGGGCTGTCATGTAAACTTCAAGGCTGCCATGGAAATCAAAAGGCCTCCACGAAATCCTAAAGGCCTCCACGAAATCCTAAAGGCTGCCACGAAATCCTAAAGGCTGCCACGAAAACCTCAAGGCTGCCACGGAAAAGCGCTGCCAAGCAAGCAATATATCCGCAAGATGAGGCACACCGTTCGTCGCGCTATTCGCCACTGACTGGGATCGCCTGCAGCCGGTGGGAGGGGCTGCAGCCGGTGGGAGGGGGCTGCAGCAGGTGGGAGGGACTGCAGCAGGTGGGATGGCTTGCAGCAGGTGGGAGGGGTTGCGCTTAAGGTCAGGTAGCGTTAGACCGTGATGGCCTTGCTGAACATTGCGGTACGTTAAGCTTTTGCTGCCAAATCCTGTCGTTGCCGCAGAATATCACGAGTGGGTAGTGGGGTCAGCGCTCACGCAGCAAATATCACGAGTGGGTGGTGGGGTCAGCGCTCACGCAGCAAATATCACGAGTGGGTAGTGGGGTCAGCGCTCACGCAGCAAATATCACGGGTGGGTAGTGGGGTCAGCGCTCACGCAGCAAATATCACGAGTGGGTAGTGGGGTCAGCGCTCACGCAGCAAATATCACGAGTGGGTGGTGGGGGCAGCGCTCACGCAGCAAATATCACGAGTGGGTGGTGGGGGCAGCGCTCACGCAGCAAATATCACGAGTGGGTGGTGGGGTCGGCGCTCACATGCCTTCAGCGCGGGCGCTGATGACAATCTGTCCAACCCAATGGTTTTGATGCCATTTTTGTCAATAACGAGGAAAAACGCAACGTATTTGACATGCAAAACATGAAGCCGAGTTCTCCAGTTGGTAGGCTTTATGACCATGTTAAAACTGCCTGCAGTGCGTTGGGTCAGGTCAATGTGTATGTCCTCAGGTCAACTGAAAAGAACCGTATGCTCGCCACAAAACATCATAAGCAGGGTTGTTGGCTTCTATTCGGTTGGGGGGGGGGGGGGCTTAAGCCCTCCATCTTGGGAAGTAGCCCCTCCCCCCTCCCCCCCAAAGAGAGAGGCGGACCGATCCGGCGAGAACCCCGTTTCTTGGAGAATTTGTGGTCAGGCTTCATAATTTTCATCGGTTCAGCTCTCCCAACTAACTTCGCGAAACCAAGCCATTGGTCATAACTCCTGTCTACATTCTAATTGGCATAATTGTAATTTCAGTGGACAGACTTATAGGCTTGTGGAAGACAAGATTGCGTTTCATTAGCGCAATACGAGTCAACTGGTTATATTTTGAACAAACGACATGTGTTCCAATGTCGAAACGGGTGCGGGCGAGCATAACCAGGCTCATGCTCCGTCCACTCCATGTATGGATGTTTTGGCTAGTACGTCAACACATTTGCAATAATTCCTGATAGGTTTCAAGCTCCTAAATGATCTCTGTGGGGCCATAGGCTTCTGCCATAATGGTTTAATGGTGTTCAAGCTGTCCACACCAACTCACACCCGAGCCTGCCCGATTGCAGCCCCGCCCGTCGGCCCGTCGGGTCGACACCGGACCCGCACTCTCAGCCAACCCAAAACGGGACGGCCGCCCGTCTGCCCTGCCAACACAGCGCTGATCGTGCCGTTTTATTGTTGAGAATCACGGCGCAGCAAGAATGTAGGTTCATGAACACGTACAATATTGTAGTCCATTCACATTTAGGTCACGTACGACACCCCGCTACACTGCGTAAGAGTCTTCAGACACCAGTAAACTCAGTAGATATCCAGAGTTGGCGTAATCAGCAATCAGCACTGTTCATACGCACCCCATATAATAGGTCTCACGCTCCCGACGCCACTTCCACCCAGGCTCACGTTACACCTTCCCCAGTTCTCAACTAGGCTCACATTAGGCGAGACGTTTCCATATTCAGCTGGCTCTCACATTCTGGCGCACGTGTCTGTAGATATATGTACGCATTCGTCGCCGGCCCGTAATGTAACACAAGCGCCATGACTAAATCATAAAACAAATAACAAAGTAACAAAAGCAGCTGCGACATGGTGCCGCGCGTCGCCGCTGACCAGCAGCCTGTGTGTCCTGTCGGCAGGCGGCCGCATATTTCGCTTCAAACGTCACCAGCGCTCTCAGCTGAGTATAGTGCATCGATACTGAGCCGACCCGCGTTGGGCCGCCGCATCCGTCGTCGAAGCGGCGACGTCGACACAGGTAAGTGCCGGGAGCCACGGGGCACGAGACGCATTCGACGCTGCTGCCCAGTTGCCGGAGTGCTGCGCTCTGCCCGCCGGGGAGAGGGGGCACCGGCGCCCGCTCCCGGCTCCGGGGTCGGACTGCCAGACGTCACCCAGTGAGTGTACACAGAGCCGGGCCGAGATCTCTGAGCGCTGGTCCGAGTCGGCGGCCGTGCGAGCAGTCCGTGCCGCGCTCCGAGCGGCCGAGCACGCCAGTTCACAGTCGAGGTCCGACTGGCCAGGCCTTCAGGACGAACCCTCACGACCGACGACAATGCGGCCCGATTGGCGGCAGGTCCCTCCAGGCCCGCCGCCGCCAGACAGGGATGCGGCCCACTCCAGTGCCAGGCCAGGGTTCGCGCAGCTGGGGAGCGAGGGGAGCCGCTCCAGACTCGCCGGCGTACTGGGGTGCGTCGTTCGAGCCCGGCCTTGCAGGGGCGGCGCCCCGGGCTGCTGGCCGGGCCAGGCCTCCGGCTACTTGAGCTCCAGAGCCCAGACGTGCTGCGGCCAGCCCGTCCGGCCGTTTACCTTCTGCTCCTGCTCCAGCAGCAGCGCCTGCGGGCAGAGACGCAGAGACAGTCAGCGAACCGACCCGGGCCTGAAGGCGACGTGTCGTGGGATCTGGGGGCCGCAGACTGATGCACGAAGGAACAGCACTGGTAAACGGACGGCATGAATGAATGGGGGCCACAAGAATATGGCTTGGGGAAGCGGGACGAGGAGACAGGGAGCATAGGCACGGACAGACAGCTCAAGCGGCACGGACAGACAGCTCAATCGGACGGGTGGCCAGGGAGCCGGCGGCCGCCACAGACAGCCGGTCGGCAGGAGCGGCGGTCCGGGGCGGCGTCTGCCCGGCCCGGCTGCTGATCGGCCGCCGCGGCCAGCGTGGGCCTCTAATCAGCGCGGGCCGACCTCTGCCCAGTTCGGGCCGGGCCAGGCCGGACTGGGCAGACGGCAGCCGGGTGGCGCCGCGCGAGTGCCGCCGCCCCCGACGATGATGACGACACGTCCGGTCGGCAACGTGCCCCGGCGCTGATCAAGTGTCCAGACACGGGCTGGTCTCGACCCCCTGTGGCGGAGACAGGGCTGTGGTCTGCTGCACGGCGCCGTCTCCGGGGGACAGGGACAGGGCTGGCGCGAGGGACGTCCCGGGTGGTGTCCCCGTGTGCTGGCAGGGGGAGGCCACGCGGCTTCCTGTGTCCTCAGTGTCCATGGCGTAGAGCCCCAGCGCCGGCATCGCTGGACGCATGGCCTCGCCTCATTACGTGCAAGATGTTTGCATGCCATTTACTTTTCGCCACGCTGGCTCGACAGAGCTAATAGGCTGGTTAAGTGATGACTTGAAAGGAGTTGAGTCCCCCTACAAAAGGAAGTTCTTCAGCGAAGTCTCTAAATCAGTTTTCTTTTCGCCTTTGTCGTACCTTTAATAGGTGGTAGATCTATGGTTTGCTATTGTTATGCTTTGCATTGCGCTGGCGCGCACATGCTGGCTGTAATGTGAGACGTACCATAAAGCGGATTTTCGGCACTCATAGTCCGTTCATAAAGGCTTTTTTCTTTTAACAAGCGTTGGGCGCGCGGCAAAATCAGGTGACTTGATAGAAAGTCTGTGGTACTGCCATGTACACGAGGCTGCTCGAAATGGGATCCAGAATGGCCTACTCGTCGCAGCGCAAGTCATGCGGTTAGTCCAAATGTCAGCTTAAATCCTTTTGAATATTCAGATGTACAAGAAACCCGCATCTTCCCGTCTGCAGCTGCGACGCAAAATTTGTGCGAAAGCAATCAACCATGCAAACAAACTGACTGGATTCCAATTCAAAATTTATTTGGTCACGCTGGCATTTTCGAAGAGAATGTCCAGCGTAGCCAGACAGGAAATGGGGAAGACAGCGTACCCTGTTCGCCGCGTTGACAGCTGTCGAAAGGTATGACGCATAAAGTATTAGTAGCCCGCAGGCAGGTGCGTGGTTTTGTAGCCTCGGGTATTCGCCCGACACAAAAAGCGCCCGTGTGAACAAGGCCATATCAGGTCATATCAAGGTCGATTAGTAAATATTTCAAGGACGCTAATATGATCTTTTTCTAAGTTTTACCGGGCTGCGGTACCCGTGACTCTTGGGTTTACCCTCACTAGCATGTTAACAACCATGTAAGCCCAGTCACAGCGCCGGCCTTGCAGTCGAGACACCAGCCTTGCCAAGGGATTTTCGGCCGCTTTAAGCCAGAAATACTGGCAGTGGCACCATTCTGTTCATTGGTCATTTCAAGCATACATTTCTTCCTCAGCATCACGATTGCAGCACTAAGACAATGTGCGGGCGAATCCTGCCCGGGGACCGGGATGGACAACGACGATAACTTCAGTAAAATGGCAACGTTTCGCTAGTCAGTTGTCGGCATTTCAATGGCAAATTGTCGTGGTTGCCTTAAAAGTGCTGGACGTTTGTATTAAACCAACAACCTTGCAGTTCGGTGAAAGCTTTCACTGCAGTTTGGTATCAGCCTAAACATATTGCGTAACATTCCATTCACGCAATACAACCCTAGGCGCAACGATTGTACTTAACTGAAAGATTATGGAAAAGGTAGGCTGTAAAACCCTCACTTACCTCAATAATCTCTTAAACCAACAGCTGAAAATATGTGTTTTGCTAAAAATATGATAGGTTATAGGGGAATGCCATTCATTGCGTTGCCGACTTATTTCCCTTCTGTACGTTTGTTGTTAGACTGGCACTAGACAAACACACACACACACACACACACACACACACGCACACACGTGTGTGCGTGTGTGTGGGTGTGGGTGTGGGTGTGGGTGTGGGTGTGGGTGTGGGTGTGGGTGTGGGTGTGGGTGTGGGTGGGTGTGGGTGTGTGTGTGGGTGTGTGGGTGGGTGTGGGTGGGTGTGGGTGGTGTGGGTGTGGGTGTGGGTGTGGGTGTGGGTGTGGGTGTGGGTGTGGGTGTGAAATTGTACGAAAGTTGTTGGTGTAGTTGCAGACAATGCACATTAGAAATACTGCATCAAACAACCTTACCTCATCGTCTTCGGAAAACGACGTTCTTATTGCGGCATGTGTGTTTTTTCCTGCCACTATTCAGTGCCATTGAATAAATTATACTACAATCTGTACGCGACATGGGCATTGGAACTATGAAGATTTACGGGATGTTGACACAGGAACTGTAAGGGCCCTATTTACACATGATTATCTGTGCTCTCGCGTTTTAACAGTGACCTCATATTCCCAGCTCATGTGTATGGGTCGCGCGGTCTGAAATCAATGTGTGGTGCATGAGTCGTGTTTTTTTCTTTATGAACTCGTCACAGTATTTTTTGTTACTGTGATGAAGGAGCACGAAAACCGAGCCTGGTCCGCACCACTGATAGATACATAATGTAATGACCGAAGGCTGTTTATTTAATATATGTGCGCTTATGTAAACAGGGTGCCCCTAATGAGGAGTTTTTCCAAACATTGCGGCAGGCTGGG